CCATTTCCTTCTCTAGTGGATTAATGAAAACAGAGGTTAAGTGACTTGCCCAGTGTCACACAGCTAGTGTCTGCCAAATTTGAACTCAGGTTTTCCTGACTCGAGGTTCAGCGCTCTATCCATTGAGCCACTTAGCTGCCAAGATTGGGATACTCTTCCTCTTTAAGAGGCAGCAACCACTAATGTGGAAATGTTTTGAATGACCTCACATGTATAATGGGTATTCTATTTCTTGCCTCTATTTCTTAGGGGAGGGGTGGAGGTAGGAACACAATTTGGAACTGACTGAAAATATAAATGAAAATTTTTAAAAAGAGAGTAGCAACTACCTACCCCTTACATGTTTTCAACTTTTTCAATGTGTTGATCAATGGTGCTCATTTTTTTTTCTCTCTTAAAAAAAATACTATTAGTCATATGGGATGGCTCTCTGGGAGGAATACTGGGAATATGATGATGTAAGAAACAAAACATTGTAAAAAAAAATTTTTTTAAAGAGATAGCAACTAGGAGAGTGACTTGAATCTTTATATATATATATATATGTATGTATATATATATATATATATATATATATACCTGTAGACCAGCAATATTTAGATGGGGAAAGAAGACAGATAAAATTCTAGTCTAGTACCTCCTCTCAGAACAGAGCTGCCAGCCTCAAGGACCCTTTTCTGTTCCCCTTCAGTCAGGAATCAAAGTCTTCCAGTGAGAGGAGTGGGCAAGATTCCATAGATATCTGTCCATTCCTCCCTCCAGCTCATTTAGACAACCAAGGTGAGTTGCAAATTTAGAGACATCTCCACTCCAAACATTCATATGGGCTATTTGTGCCTGACCTCTGGTAGAGCCTTCTGAGCTGGTATTGGTCTGATCAGCCACAGTGGGACACAAAGTACTTTGACCCCAACATAGTGATGTCATTTTGGTCCTCTGTGAGCACGATGGACAGCCACCATCCATCTTATATGGGCAGTACATTTTACTGTAGTAATTAGCAGAGCCAGGATTAGAACCAAAGTCCTATGACTCTAAACCCAGGGCTCTTTCCACTATATTACATAGTCTATAAAAGTTTCTCCTGTATAACATTTTTCTCTATATATGTCACATTCTTTCTAGTAGAATATAAGTTCATTGAGGGTTATATAGCTGGGTTTTTTTTCTTTGCATTCCCAGTGCCTATCACAGGACCGTATCACAAATGTTTGATGAATTGAATTGAAACTTGCAATACCACACTAGGTGAAGAAACAACATTGCAATGGCAACAGAAAGACCACTGTGTCGTAAGGAGACTGCTGCGCTTTACAGAGGGATGACCTGTCAAGTGTCACGTAAAAGACAACGATATTGACAACCTATCACTGCCGTTGATGTAAAGAAAGGCACAGCCTATGTTGCCCTGGTGTCCACAGGATCTTAAAAGATCTAGAGAAATATCTTGGGTAGCAGAGGCAGTAAAGATCAGCCATGGAAGATTGGGGGACGCATTGTGTCCTGTTCGGGTGCAGCAAAGAGTTGCTCACTCAGATGACATCACTCATCCATCGGAGGGACGTGGTGTTTTTAAGTATTAACATTTAACAAATGGGGAAACTGAGGCTTAAGGGAGAGATGACTCAGTCAGGATCATCGAGGCTCTCTACCTAGCCTCAGGTCAGGAGGGCCAGGCGGGAAACAACCCACTTGAGCCGCCCTAGCGGGGGGTCCCAGGACTCAGACGAGGCCTCGCGCCGCGCTAGCAGGAGGCCACCAGGGCCACCGTAGTTGCCTGCGCCTCGCGCTCGGCCGCGAGTCCACTTGGGCCCTTCCGAGGCGGCCGCCATCTTGCCACAGGGGCGGGGGCCGGGGCGGGAGCCGGGGGGAGGAGCGGCGTGGCGGGAGCCGGCGAGGAGAGCGGAGGCCATAGGAAGCCAGCTGGGTGAGAGGGCTCTCTGGACTGGGCCGAGGGCGGGCACCGGGGTGCCGGAGCGCGCTGGGGAAAGTGTCATGGAGAGTGGGAGGGAAGGAGGGAGGAAAGCAGGCCGGGAGGCGGGCGGGCGGGCGCTCGTGCTGGGGATCAGCAGCTCCCCCATCCCTCCCGCTCCCTCCGGCCCCTGCCCGGCTCCTCCGACCCGGGGCGCCCCGCCGCCCGCGCCCTCTGTCTCCCGGGCCGGGGGTCCCCACAGCTCCCCAGGACCCTCCCCCGCCCCAGAGCAGCAGCAGGGGGCGGGGGAGCGAGAACTGCGGGGACGCGAGCCTCTGTTCCGTCCACCCCGGGCTCGGGGCGCGGGGCGCGGGCTCCCCGGGGGGTCCGCCCCCTCCGCTGCCGAGGATGCCCCGGGGCTCCCCGGGACCGTCCGCCGAGCCCAGAGCGGAGTGCGGGCCGAGTATCTTAACAACCGCAAACAAACTTCGTGGTTCTGCCTCGTTTGGGAGCTTTGGATAAATAAGCAGATTCCCCTGCACCGCCCCCCCCCCCTCCGCGGGCGTGTCTTTACATCGCTTCGTTCCTCGTTGGATTTACCCACCCGGGGATTCACCCAAGACAACTTAAAAAAGAAATAGAAATTGTTTTCTCATTCTTTCCAGTTTTGAAATCCAGGCGACCAAAATCACAATAGGTCATCTAGTATTAATATATTTCTTGGAAATATGTATTTCTAAATGTGAGTGTTTCTAGAATGTAAACTTTTTAAAATTATTTTAGAAGTAACTAGATTGAAACAAAAGCAGCGTGAGTTCTTTTTTTAGAACTGATAAAGGGTTAGGAGGGAAAAAAATCTAGTTGCGTGTAACTTCAATGGGAATCTTGACAATCCCACATGCCTTAGTGGTCTGAGTTGTCAGGAAGAACGGGAAATTATGCTTAAAATCCGACTTTGAAACTTGCGAGATTTAGGATTGTGTTGCTGTGGCACAGATTTTTTTTTTAAGTTAGCACCTGTAGGTGAAACTACAAATAAGTATTTGTAACATCTCAAACTTTTGAGACTTTATAAAAACACAGACACACATACATACACAATGCAATAGAAAGTTTTCCTATCCAGTCCATTTTAATTTTAAAATCTTCCTCTTCTTAAATTTGCATTGGTGTCTTGTTTTCACATCAGTTTTACCTATGAATAATATCCCTCCCACAAGCCATCTCTTGTAAGAAATAATTTTTATAAGAAAGGGAAAAAAAGGCAGTTTTGCATAACCAACAGTACACCAACAGAATCTGACAGTGTGCTCCATATTACACCCTAATTAGCCCCCCACCTTTTCTTTGAAAGGATGGTGGTGGTGGTTCAGTTGTTTCCAACATTTTGTGACCTATGTTTGGGGTTTTCTTGGCATAGATACTGGAACGGCTTGCCATTTCCTTCTTCTCCAGCTCATTTTACAGATGAGGAAACTGAGAAAAAACAGGGTTAAGTGACTTGCCCACAGTCACACAGGTAGTAAGTGTGAAGCCAGATTTGAATTCAGGAAGATGAGTCTTCCAGACTACAGGCTTGGCACTCTCTTCACTTCACTACCTAGCCACCTAAAGATGGAGGTACACTTTCGCAGTTTTTCCAAAGCCAAGCTCTTAAGTTTCTTCAAAAAGCAAAAATCCTCAGATCCAAAGAAACAAAAGTATTAAATGTACAAATTTCAAGGCTTGCCTTTAATTCATTCTTAATTCTTCAGATGAGGAAAGTTAAGGTAGTATAACCATAACTCTTAATTATAGGTCAAATCCTATTACTGTAACTCCAAAAGAATATCCAAAAAGGTCCTTGATATCAGTGTAAGTACTTCCTCAACTGATTGATGGAGGACACAAGCCTTTCATTTTCATATTGTTTTTGAGTTGCTGAAGTTAACCTCATGTCTAGTGGTCATTCTTCTGGTGATGAACCTCTGAATTTAAATAGTCTGGTCCTTGAATAATAAACATCTGTCACCCAGTTGGTATTTTGAGTCCTTTCCAGCATAGTAGAAGCTGCCAGAAGTAGGTAGGACCTGGCATACATAGCTTTTGGGAACTCAGAATCATTTACATGCCAGCATGAGGCATGAAGGAAATAATATGAAATGTCTGCAAAGGTCAGTTAGAACCAGATTGCAAAGGACATTAAATGCCAAACAGGAGAGTAAGAAACTGCTAGAGTTCTTGAGCAGAGGAGTGATATGGTCAGAACTGTAATTTAGGGGGCAGTTAGGGAGAGCAGTAGATAGAGTGCCTAACCTGGAGTCAGGAAGACCTAAGTTCAAAGCTGGCCTCAGGTATTTCCTCACTGTGTCACCCTGGGCAAGTCACTTAACCCTCTTTGCCTCAGTTTCTTCATCTGTAAAATGAGCTGGAGAAAGAAATGGCAAACCACTGCAGTATCTTTGCCAAGAAACCCCAAATGGGGTCATGAAGAATTAGACACAACTGAACAACAGCATGTAGCACCAGACAGATATTTTCATTCATTCATACATACATACATATATTTATTTGTTTAAAACTATACTTTTATATTTATGTAGAAGGTTATATTGGTTAGTGACCGTGGTCAAGTCATTTTGCTTCCCAATGCACTGGGCAACTTTCTGAGACTGTTATTTACAGACACCTTGCTGATCTGCGATCATTATGGGGAATTCTATACTCAGAACTCCCTATACTCATGAATTTACAGTTCTGGACCTTCCAAAATACTCTTAATTTGAAATAAGTGAGAGTTAAAGCTAATCATAATAGTAGTAGATGTTGTGAGATGTCGTATAGTAAGCAAAGCCCTTTATGTTCATTGTTTCACTTGGATGATGTTAATGCAAATATTAGTGTCCCCATTGTACAGATGAAGAAATGTTGATAGGGAGAGAGTTTAAGTGAATTGTCCACAGTCACAGATCACACATCTAGTGTATGTGGGAGACTAGACTCTAAGTCAACTGACTACAAATAGTGTTCTTTCTACATCTTTTTGTTACAGGGGAAATTTTGTTCATCCAGTATTATACATTTACTATCTTGAAGGCATTGGACGTATTAGGAAACTCTCAGATTTGTCTTTGTATCTCTTAACAAGATTTGACATTATACATGTAAGTTAGTAAAACAGTAGTACTAGTAAAGTCAAACCATGTATATAATAGAAGCAAAATCATTTCAGTTTGGTCTTTAAGATGTCTTATTATTGTTCTCATATGCCACATTCCATCTCTTAACCTTTGGATTAGCTGTCATCCTGGCCTCCTCTCCCTCTTAGGTTCAACAAGTGCCACATTAAGTGCCACATTCTACATGAAATCTTTCCTGACTTACGCCACCTCTCCTGTTTCTAGGTTCTTTCCTGCCTTTCCCCATTACCTTGTATTTCTTTACATACAAACGTGGTTTGCCATTTCCTTCTCTAGTTCATTTTACAGATGAGGAAACTAAGGCAAACAGGGTTAAGAAACTTGCCCAGAGTCACACTCTGTGTGAGGTCAGATTTGAACTCAGGAAGATGAGTCTTCCTGATTCCAAGCTGGGCACTCTATCCACTGCACCACCTAGCTGCCCTAAAAGAATTATTATCTGTATTAAACACACACCCTACTTTTTAATCAAAAGAAATGACTGGTGTGAGGTTGTGGGTGACTTGAAATATACTAGGCTCATGAGTTTGTATTTTTTTCCATAAGCAGTTGGGAACCACTGAAAAATTTTCAGCAGGGGAAGGCTAGATTAGAGAGGAAGAAGTAAGGAGATGCATCAGACTTTTAAAATAATCCAAATAAAAGGTGATGAGGATCTGAACTGTGGTAGTGGCTGTGTGAGTGGAGAAAAAGGTGATGGATGCAAGATAAATTGTGGACTTAGGATTGACAAGATTTTGCATCTGTTTGGGTGAGAGAGGATGATTCTAAAATTGTAAATATGGGTGACTAGAAGGATGATGGTACTGTCAACAGAAATTGGGAAGTTAGGAAAAAGGGAGAGTTGTGAGGGAAAGATGAGTTCTGCTTTGCGTATGTTGAGTTTGAGATGATAGTAGAACATGAAGAAGGACGTGGTGGCCAAGTATTACAGAAGGGTGAAAGTAGATGAGACCTAAGAAAATGCCACCAGATTTAGTAATTAAGCTTTGGTGACCTTTGAGTGAGCAGATCCTGTAGCGTATTATAGTCAGAAACCATATTGCATGGAATTAAATTTTTAGACATAGAGATAGAGCAAGTAATAAGTATAGACCATTTTCTAGGAGTCTAGTATTATAGGAGAGATAATAGAAGACTAGTTTGAAGGGCTGGCAATGTCCATGGTGGGTTTTTTGTTTTCGTTGTTTTAAGGGAACTTGTTTATAGGCAACAGAGAAGGAACTACTAGTTAATAAGAGATGGAAGGGGGTAGGAAATGATCAATGGAACAGACTCCCAGAGAAGATGGCAGAGGATGGAATCAAGGCTACAGATAGAAGTGTTAGCCCTGGCAAGAAGGGTAACCTCATCCTCTGCGATCAGATAAAGTAAAGGAAGAAATGAGAGGCTGAGTCTTCATGGAAAGTATTTAAAATATAGAGCAGGGGTGGGGAACTTATGGCTTTAGGTCCTTGGGAGCTGCCTTTTGAATGAGTCCAAGTTTTACAGAACAAATCCTTTTATTGAGGGGATTTGTTCAGTGAAGTTTGAATTCAGTCAAAGGGCTGCACTTGAGGACCTAGAGAGCTACATGTGGTCTGGAGGCCACAGGTTCTCCACCCCGGGTATAGAGGATGAACCTTATGAAGGATGGCTTCAGTTTTTTCAGTAGAATAGGACAGAGAACATTCTCTGTTGAGAGAAAGGGGAACAGAAGAGTTGAAATTGAAAAAAAAAAGAAGTCTTGGAATAGTTGTGAAAGACTGACAGGAGGAAGTTAATCAGAAATCAATAAAAAGATTGTCTTGCAGTAATAGTGAAAGCCCAGTTGAGGTTAGGTAACATGAATTTGCAGTGGGCTCAGACAGTGTAAGTTCATGACAACCTTTAGGAAGGTTCAGTGGCTCAGGAGTGGGAGCAGAGAAGGCAATTGGTAGGAGCAATTGGGGGCTGAGGATTAGAAGGCTACAGATGATAGAAGGACAATGAAGCAAGAGATTCATTGGAGGAGAATAATGTCATGTCACCATTGGTGGGAGAGGGTCAAGACTCAAAACAAGGCCAGAGCATCAATGCTACGTTGGGAAAATAGGGAAAGGTATTGAATCAAGTCCGTCAATAAGTATTAAATGTCATCCATATGCTAGCCTCTGAGAATACAAATATAACACAGTCCCTCGAGGACTTTACATTTTAGTGAATGTCATACAGTATGTTCACAAGTAAATCAAGGATAAATACAAAATAAAAACATAACAGGGGGCACTCACAACTGATGACTTCTCAAAGGAGGTAGCACTTAAGCTGAGCCTGAAAGGTTCCCAGGAGAAGTGAGGAGAACAAGCATTTTCCCACGATTAAGATTTAAACAGGTAGATTCCCTCAAGTCTTGTCAAGGTCACATCTTTCAGTAGGTAATAAACAGGGAATTGAAGATTTGGTGTCAACTGCAAACTAATGAACCAAAGATCAGGGTAATGATGAAGAGCAAGTTCAGGAAGGAGTGAAGCAAAAGAACAGGTAGAAAGGTATAGGATTGTGATTAGATAGAGAATTTCAGAGTTCAAGACCTTGGAGTACTTTCAGTAGCGTGAATTCACATTTTTACATTCCTAGTGATTTAAACTCATTGAAGGTTGCTAAATTGTCTTGCCTATACTCATTTATCTTAAATTTCAGTTCCCATTTAAATACTTTTGCTATCCATTCCAGTACAAATTTGTTAAGAAATCATTTGTGTAAGAAAAAAATAGAAGTTACATAGTTCTGCCTCTTTTTTATCATCTATTATCATCTTATCCTGGGGTTCATGCCCTGCTAGTCTTTAGTTTTTGATTATACCTATCAATCACCTTTTTTGTACCTATTCTTGAACGGAATTTTAAAAGCATTGGTCTTATCCTTTGCTCTTTCTCTCTATCAATATAGTCACAAAAACCCTTTTCGTATTTGTATGTAGTATATGTATACTAGTGTCTTCATAGTATTGAAGTCATGATGGCCACTGTAATTAAATCATTCTGTTATGAAAGTTCTATGATTGTCACAGAACATACTTAAAACTGTAATTTATTGCTCACCATGAAATGGAAGTTAAAAAGCTAATAGAACTTTTGCCATAAGAAGTCACCTTGACAGTGGAAACACTAAATTTTAAACATTTTTCTTACCTGTTAAGATGGGTTGGATTTGTATGATGGATATTTAATTTGGGAGCTTTCCTTTCAGTGTTTGTAGCCTGTTCTTTCTTTGTATTATTTTGCATCATCAGTGAAATATGGGGCTTTAATACATATAGTGATTTAGTAAAGAAAGGAAGCATACATTTTACTTACAGTTATGTGAGGCTTTAGCTGGACAAGTTGCTTAATCCCTCTCTGAGTCTATTTCCTCAAGTGTTAAATCAGTGGATTAGACTAGATGAATTTTAAAAGTCCTTTCAACTCTTAAAATTCCATGATTCTCTTAGATTTGATTATCTCCTAAGTCTAGTTTGTTATATAGAGCACAACAGAAGATAATATATGTGGAAACATTTTGTAAACTGTAAAGTTCTGTGTGTGGGTAAGGTGCTATTACTATTTGGGTCACAGTTATTACTGCTTAATCTTGAGTTCAGCCTCTTCATTGAAAACACTTTTCACACATTCCCTGACTTTGGAAACACAGGCAGCTTGGGAACAATAACTTATAAATAGTATATACAATTTCACTTTACTAAGGCCCTACCAGGCATAATTATAATAAGCTTTTAGCTTTTTTGCCATACTGGAACAGGTTCTAGAAATGAGAGATAATAATAGAATGCAGAGTTCTATTAAGATTCCATTTGAATGTAAATACTTTGAGAGCAGGAACTATGTTGTTATGGTTGTGGCTATGATTGTGGTGGTGGTTGTAGTCCACAAAGTGCCTTATTATTTAGTCAATGCTTAAAAAATGTTTGTTGTATGAGTAGGAATCTCAAAACACTTTAAATTTTAAATTATGACAATTATTTTTCTTTTTAGCTGGGCTCCAAACAAAGAGAATCAGTACTTTTTCAGTAACTTGTAGACACCATTTTGTGTAGACAAAAAACTTAATACTGCAAGAATTATCCAGATTAACAGTAGGGATTAAGGATTTGTTTTATATATATGTATTCTGTATGCTTTTATGACTACAAGAAACTCCTCCCTTTTTCTGGAGATGAGTCTAATGATTCCAGAAATAGAAAAGTGTTATTGACACAAAGATTTTTGGGCAAATGGGGATTTATTTGTTTGCTGCACAAAATACTCTAGACTTTTTTTTTTCTGAGCTTTCCTTGTTCTTTGCTCTTTACATTCTTCTTAAACAAGGGGGGAAAAAACCTCTTTTAGTTGCCAATTTCTCTTTAACACTTCTCTTAAACACTTTATAGTTTCTGATAATATCCAACCAAGATGGGCTGTTTGACTCCTTTTTATGTTAAAAGAAAGGTAGGGACATAAAGACTCTGGCATGAATTTCCTATTAGGGTGGCATAAAGGAATAAATAGAAAACCATTGAACCCATGATGGTTTTACTGTGTGTACTAGCAATCCTGAATCTGTGAATCTGCAGAGTTTACTGAATTCTGATTTATATTGGAATATATATGGGACGGTAACTCAGTTACTCATCAGAAGATGAATTTGACCAAGACCAGTTGGTCAATTCTAGGATTCTAGGTCCTGGCTCTGCTTCTACCTTGCTTTGTAACATTAAATCACTTAACCTTTCTGAGCCTTGTTTCCTCCTCTAAAAATTAGAGGATTGGATTAGATGAGTCTAAAAGACCCTTCCACATTTAAATAACTAAAACTACTGTGATACTTGAAAGAAAAATTCTTCTAAGTTTTGAGTAAGGACAGGAAAAAGTGTAATTGGCCATACTTTGCACAATTTAGATTATGGTCTAGAAATTAAAGATGTCAGTTCTATGATATGTAAAAGTTCTCTTTATAAACTATACAGGCCCAAATGGATGGATAACAAAAGTACCTAGTAGTTTAGTGATCTTTGCTGCTCTCAATATTTCTTTGCTGCAATTCTGCTTTTCTTTCTCCTGGCTGCTAATTGGATTAAAGGCTGTTTTGATAACTATGGCATCCCAAGATGAGATTGCTCTCTTTGAAGATGAAGTAAGGTAAATAGTTTTCATTGCAATATAAACTAGGATGTGGAAAAAATAAGAATTGTTATGGGCATCCAGAAAAGATATATGGTTGCTCTAGTGTTGCTATAGTAATAAATATGTTAATCAAAATATACATACCATTAAAAATGTTTTGTACAGCTATGTTTTTAATATTATATAGATCATATCCATCTATTAATTTACTATGAATATAAACAAATCATTGGCACAGGTCTAGAAGTAATGTCATGTAAATTCATATATACAGTATCAGAAGTTTGTGACAAACTATACTTCATTTTTTAAAAAACAAATTGGCTAAAAAGTTGCTGTAGATGCATACATATTTTAATTGAATTTTAAATATAGCATTCATTTTTCTTAAGTTCAGAATACTTCTCTCTGTCAATTAAATGTAGGTTATCACTAGCATAATAAAACACTTTTTATAATAGACTTACTACCTTGAATTAGAAGATTTTTTGTTATTTATAGTAGTTGAGCCAATGTAGGAGAACACAGAATTCAGCATTACTTATATTTTAATTTTAAAAGACTGACCTTACAAGGCTGTATCCGGGAGCAGAGTGTTCTATTCAGGAGTAATAGATTTTTAATCCTATTAAAATGAAGGCGACTTTGTTTGGAATTAAAGGACTATAATCATGTACAGTAGTTTATATCTTAAAGGAAGACTGGATGGAATAGAAAAAAGTTATATTTGGTCAGTTCTTGAATAATCTCTCCTTAACATGCAATAATAACAGGTTCATTTTAAAACCAGGTATTTTCTTATGTGGTGAATGATTTTGTCATTTGGCTATAATTATTTTTAATTTCATAAAAATTGCTTTGTTTCATTTTCTTAGATCTTGTTATAGCCACTTAGGAACAATGACAGATCTTGTAGCAGTTTGGGAAGTTGCCTTAAGTGATGGTATTCACAAGATTGAATTTGAACATGGGACCACTTCAGGAAAACGTGTTGTGTATGTAGATGGAAAGGTAGGAAGAAAACCTACATCTTGTTTATAAATGTAATATGTATGTGTGGTTTATACTTGTCTGGAATATAGACTAATTATTGTGAGCAATTAAAGCTGAACTAGGGGAAAAAAGGCTTTTTCAGATTTCTGGCTTGTTTTGCACTGCTTCAAAAAGATTAATGATAGTTATAAACTCAGTGATTATAATTTCTGGCACTAGTTAATTGAGATGAATTTCATAACTTGTATGATTATGTTTAGTGTTAAGCAGTTCTTGCCAACTATCTACTTATGAATTGGTTAGTTTAAAATTGTGGGCACCAGTGAATTTCACCTCTGTACTTCTCTAGGACAGAGTTGTTTAGTACCTTATTCTGTGGGAACTTGGGGTTGGTTATACTTAAGATATTTTCTAGCTTTAATCACTGTGATTCTATGAATTTAAATTCATTCCATGATTTGGGGACCAATAGCATTTGTTCATTCTAGTATTTTTCCCCTCAGTGATCTTCATTTTTACCTATCTTGCATTGTCCTGCATTTGTCGCAGTTTCTGTTGAACAGGTTTTTTGTGTGTTTGTTTGTTTTTAAGTGTTTGGGAGGGGTTTTTGCTTGCTATCTCCCTTGTTAGTTCTCTGCATTCACCTGTCCCAGAACAGATCATTTTGTGTCCTGTGACATTAGGGGAGAGAGTGAAGAGAGGCTTTTTGTGCAGATTCTGGATATAGGAAGAGACATTTTAGAAGAACAGTTAGACATCATCAACCTTCAGGACAAAGCCACCTCTATTGGAAAACTGAAAGCGTCCCTTCACGCAACTTCAGTACTTCAGGACATTTTCAAGGAGATGAGTGAAGACAGGCATTTGTGATGAAGCAGATAGAAAAGGGTCTTCTATCTAGAACTGAATATATCGTTCTACTATTTTCTTCTTATTCTGCTTTTATATTTTGCTACTTAGGAAGAGATAAGAAGAGAATGGATGTTCAAACTGGTGGGCAAAGAAACATTTAGTGTTGGAGTTGCAAAAACAAAAGCTACCATAAACATAGATGCAGTCAGTGGTTTTGCTTATGAATATACTCTGGAAATTGATGGGAAAAGTCTCAAGAAATATATGGAGAACAGATCAAAAACAACAAATACTTGGGTTTTACATTTGGATGGTGTGGATTTTAGAATTGTGTTGGGTAAGTTTGTGATCCTTCTGTAACATCCGTTAATCATTTATTGTATTTTTTGTGTTTTAGATGGCTTAAATCTTTTATGTTTAACTTCATTTTTCCTTTTAGGCATTACCCTTTCATGAAAACACTGAATAGGGATGACCAAGGTAGCCCAATTTTTATTTTGTTAAATTACTTCTAATGTGCCAATTCTCAAGGAAATTTTTTTTTTATATGAATGGATGAGTATTTTTTAACTTGTGTCCTAAATTGTTAGGAATACATGGAAGGAAATGCCATTAGTGAGGCTGCTCTTTATCAATTATATCTTGGCATTCTCTACCAGAACTGTTAGAAATAGTTTTCCCATGAATGTGTGCTATATTTACATGTTCCAAGAGTCTTGTCAGCCCGAAATCATTAGTTTTGGCAGTAGTGTATATTGGTATTTTACACCTAACAAGACTTACTGTCTCCTGTAAATGGGAATAATAATAGCACCTACCTCACAGGGCTAATGTGAGGATCAAATATGATAACATACATAAACCACCTTATAAACCTTCAAGTGCTACATAAATGCTAGCTGTTGTTAGTTGTTGTTGTTAATAACATTACTGACCTTTCTTTGAAGATAGGAGAATTATCCAAACACAATTTTTTTTACTATTTGTAGTTGAATTAAATTCTCCTTCTTACAAGTCATTTTTTGAAAATGAGTATTAATTAAGTATACAGAATGATAACATACATTTACTGCATTAAGGACATTTCAGGTTCAAAGACAAGTATGCAAAACATTGTTGTCTGAATGGGAAGTAGCTAAATCAGAGATTTAGTTTGTAGAACTTAGGTAAGGGAGATTGTTTTCTCGATCTAAACTTTAAGCATTTTGTGAGGAACAGATGTACTTTGCATTAATTAAAAGTACTTTGCAAATCTTAAAGTATTATGTAAATGTCAGCTCTTGTTGTTATCACCATTTTATGCTGTACTAGATGCTAGGATATAAAGACAGAAACATAAGCATCCCTATTCTCAAAGTACTTATTTTGTACTTTGGGGGAAGGGTTGAGATGTAATAGAAGTTTGTTTTAGGAATGTGTCGGGGGTCAGATTTTCAATAACATACAATCTGCTGATAGACCACATAGGGAACAGACTTTTTATTCCTCAGATTTTGTTCCCTAAGCACAGACATTTCAATAGAAATCTTGCAGTTTCCAAATTCTGATTGTTTCATAAATTTTGTATTGGTATTGTCTGTATTTAATGCTACCACCTTTCTCCTCTTACACTTATTTCCTCCTCCCCAAACTAGTAAGCTGTAAGTATACAAATATTTGCTTGGAACAAATATTCTTTGGGTCCCCACATAAACATCATGAAAATCCAGAGAAGAAATATAGGCATAAGGTACTGCATTTGCAAATTTCTTTTTTATACCACTGATATTTTTTTTTAGGGCTGTAACACGTGGGCCTGTTTATTTTTAATGGTTGGTCTGTAATGACCTATTTGAATATTAAGAGAATGTGAATTACTTAACTGGAATAAAAATAGTCTTCCAAAAAGAAAAATTACCAATAGAAATATACAATTCTGAGAAAGGCTTTAAAGCCTTGTCATATTTAAGCAGTATTGGTTATTGAAGATGATGAGATATAACATATAGTTCTAGGAGAGAATTAAATCCTTAACCTATTTAAACTGTGTGCTATTGAAGATGAGACAGAATTTTAAAAGGAATTTCTGCCATTTACTTAGCTATTTTGTCAAGAGCATTTGTAATAAGCGGGTTGGACTAGATTGTCCCTTCCAACTCCAAATCTGTGACTCCTGTAGTTTTATATGTTAGATGTCCTCACAAAATTACTAACCCTAGATTGCGTTTTAATTTTCCAGGGGTTTATTTATCCAGTCGTGGATTATCTATGTTCTTAGTTCCATTCTTTCCTTTTTACCTGCTTTTTGAAATCTCACTGCTCAGTAGCAACTACACCAGAGCTTCAGAAGAGGAAGTAAAATACAAACCTGTCACTTCTACTGTTTGTTGCTCTGGGAAAGGATCTGTTAGATTAAAAGGTTAAAGGTTATTGGCAAAGATGAGGTTTGATTTTTCCTTGGATTTCACTTAAGCATGTACTTTGTTTCCTATTGCTTACTGTAGGAAACCTGAGAAAGTTTAGTCTAGGACCTCGATTTTTGTAATGTCTTCTAGCAGATTTTTGAGGAATACTACTAGGCAAAGAAGGAATAGATTAGAATACTGTTGTATAGGCTTTCAACATGAAAGCCACATACATTGTGAGGCATCTGCTAGTAGCTGGAATACTTAACATTTAATTTTGTGCTTGAAAAAAATCAAGACAATGAAAGGAAGTCTTTATTTTTCAGTTCTTATAAACTAAGCAAAATCAGCAGTATAATGGCATATTTATGATGGCCAAAGGAAATCCCTTGATGTGGTATACTAGCATCTCATATGTTGTATACTATTAATAAACAGGCTAGCTCAAACTCACCTCCTGTAGGAGACTTGACTAATGATTATATAGAAAAAGGGAATCTAGGGAAGGACAGAAGTATAAAATTATAAATGGAATATTGTCTAGGCATCTCCCATTTATGATAGAATAAATTTGAGATCACATCAGTTAAAATGTTATTGGATGAGTTAACAACATGTATGCTTATAATGCTATCAATTTAATTCTAGGAAGGTAGGGACCCTAAGTAAACTGCTCAGATCCTAGTAAGCTATGATTCCTTTCAACAGTGTTTTCCAGGTCGGGATATACAAATGTATCACAAAGGCTCTTTACATATTGTGACAAATTAAGCTTTCCCTACAGCTCGAGATTCAGAGCCTTCCTTCCATCTCTCGTTTTTTCTCTATATGCCTACCTCCCAGAATCAATGAACTTTAAACCTTTACATTAGAATACTATCTGAGATTCACTTTAGTTATGATTGGTCTACCGATCTGAGTTAGCCTTAGCCTGCCTCCATAATAGTTGATCATAGCTGTTTTGTGTTTATGTACGCTTACATAATTTTTACTTATTCATTAGTATAGTATAGTTATACTTCATAGTGTAGTTGACATAATACCTTTCCTGCCTTTATATAGATAACAGTACTCGTGAATGGTATGGGACTTTCCTTCCCATTTCACCCTACTCCCCTCCAAATACACTTTCACATACCTAAGTGTAAACTATGAGAAATTTAGGAATTTACATTATGCTTCTGAATTTTTTTTTAAAAAGGGGGGAGGGCAGCTAGGTGGTACAATGGATAGAGGACCTGAGTTCAAATGCAGCCTCAGACACTTGACACTTACTAGCTCTGTGACCCTGGGCAAGTCACTTAATCCTGATTGCCTCACCAAAAGAAAAAGAAAAAAAAATTTTTAAATGGGAACCGCTACTGTATAGCATGTCAGCATCATTTACTGAATACTTGATAGGTTTAGAGTTCCCAGTCATTAAGTATTTTCCTCCAAATATTGTCATTATAAAAACAAGGAAAATAGCAACACCAAATTATTCTGACAATAGATCAGGGAAATTCAAATTAAAGCTGAAATTCTGTTCATCATTTCCTTATTACCATGCTATTATTTTTTTTGTAAGCTTATATCACCAGGATCTCTAGGTGGGGAAATTTTTTTTCTGGGAAGCAGTTTTTAAAAAATACTCATTGAAGACATTCTGTCAGGAAAATTCATTCTAGGCACACATTAATTTGCCTTCCTTTCTTCTTTAATATTACCATCTTTAGCCTTTCATGGGATTTCATGGTTTCTTAGGACCATGATATTGTCTTAAAGGTTTATTTTGTTTTTGTCTATGAATAAAGAATAAATACTTACAATTTCTTTAATATTTAGATGAATATCAACGCTATGAAAAGGTGGTGAGTATCATAGTAAAAGGATTTGTATTGTGAAAGGAATTTTAAAAAAAGAAATAAAGTGGAATAATTTTTCTGAAATACTATTGTTAAAGATAACTTTTCCCCTTTAAATATAGAATTCTAACATTAACTTATCAAAGTAGACAGTCTTTTCTTTTCTTGTTGCTTACAGAGAAAGATACCATGGATGTTTGGTGCAATGGTAAAAAATTGGAGACAGCAGTAAGTAGATGTTTTGGTACTGCTTAGATTCATGCTTTGTACATAATTGGCATTAAAATGTTCTTGATGTTTCAAAAAAAAACAGGTTTTCCCAGACCATAAGTATTATGTAAATAATTAAGGCCTTATAAGGTTGTTGTTTTTTTTAAAGTGTGAAATCATCCTAATATTCAATTCAAGGTGTTTTTCCTTAGGCAGTCACTAGAAAGGCATGAATGTGGAAATAGTGTGTAATGGAAACAGCATAGACTATCTGCTTGCTGTACTTCACACAGATTCTTCTCCCATTTGTAAAAATACTTTATTTGTAAAAATAACACTACTCAGGTGTTTTGGTACAAATACACATATCAAACTCTGCAGAGTAAAAGCCAAGACTCAAGTTATGTCTTGGCAAGGACCTTTGGAAATAGATAACACATATAGATACAGAATAAAGCATTTTAATAAAATAAAAAAGATCATAGGATTTCAGTTTTAGAGCTGAAAGAGACCTTAAAGGCCACTGAGTCTAATTCTCTCATTTTACAGACAAAGAAACTGAAATTAAGAGAAGATAAATGACTTGCCCAGGGTCACATAATTTGTAAATATGAGACAATATTTGTATTTGAATCTTCTTGACTCCAAGTCCGCTATACCCTCCAGCCCACTTATGGGCTACAAATTATAGTTGTAGTCAAACTGCAATTATAGTTTAGTGATTGGGGGTGCAGTATAAAAAAGTCAAAAAAAGAATCAGAAATGGATTAACAGGGAAAAATCTGCAGAAAATGAAGCCGAGATTGACAGGGAAGATAGAAAACAAACATAGAAAGGAGTGTGAGAGCTAGAAGTGAAATAGCTAAATAGGAATTTTTAAACAGTATTAAGTATGCTAATTTAGGCAAATTTGTTTGGGCCCATTTTACTATACCTGCTAATCCTGCCTCTTCTAAGTCCCTAGATGCTTGCCCTGTAATTGCAATGGGTAGAAATGAGTGCCAGAAATATTTAAAGGCAAGAGAGTATCATTATTGGACATGTGCCATTTCAGGTTAAATTTTGTACAAATAGGTTTACATTTGGTATAAATATGTATATATTTGGTGTAAATAGATATTATAATTTATTCATTTATCTGCCAGTGAAACGATAAGTAGGAAGAAGAGCAAATAGTGTTGTAGCCTGGTCTGGGAACTGAGGTGGATCTGCTGGAGAGGAGGCAGCATCTTCTATCCACATATCAAATATGTCCTGTTGATTGGTTTGTTCCCATGATTTCATCGGTGTAGGGAACTCTGAGTGAGGAAACCCTCACTACCAATAATGATCAGTAGCAGCTCTGTAGTTCCTGGTTTTGGAGAGTAACCAAGGGCACTGAGAGGTCATATAGATGTGTATGTCAGAGGCAGTTCAAATCCGGTGCTCTTACATTTATTCATCTTTCCTCCCCCTATCTCTGGTATTTGTCTTGGCCTTTCACAGTACCACTAGAAGCCAAATCCAGAGGAAGCCTAAGTAGTGTCAGAGCAGCTACCTATTCCTTGTGTCCTCCTACTTGCTCCCTCACCCTGGAAATCCAAATGTATATTCACCCCATCTCCTTCCAGAGACAACATCAGCCTTTTCCATCCTTAGCAGGATGGGCCTGGGTTTAAGGTGGTGTGAGGATGAGGAGAATTCAGCTGTAGAAGCATATAGATAGAGGGAAAAATTGTAGCATTAAAATTCCTGAAGGAATACAGGGATCTTCTTGATACCTTTGCAAATTACAGGAAGAAGATGGAACAGATAGCTAACAAGTTAGATAACAGTAAATGGACTGAAAAAATCTTGAAAGGCTAGAATGATGAGCCAAATCTAACAGGATGAAACTTAATAATTAGGGATATATCTATAAGGTTCTGAGATTGGGTTAAAATCAGCTGCACAATTGCAGGATAGAGAAAGCATGGCCAGACAGGCAGTTATTCAAAAGGAAAAAACCTCAGGTTTCTACTCAACTACAAGCTCAGTATGAGTCAGAATCATGACATGACAGCCACAAAAGCTAATGCCATTTTTTTTCCTGCATTAATAGAAGATTCAGAAGAAAGAAAGTGATAAAACCCCATTGTACACCCTGGAGTTATCCAATTCTGACCTATGTCCAGTTCTAAAAGCTACATATTAGGAAGGATATTAATGACTTGGAATGCATCATCTAGAGTAGTATCTCTGGATGCTGAGAGTATTTGAAACAATAATACTAATATCAATAACAGTTCTCACAAGCCTCTTAGGAGGCTTGAGTCAGGAATGGAAATATTTAGTCTGGAAAAGACAAGGGATCACTGTCTTCAAATATTTGGAAGAGTGGTTGGACTCCTTTACTCAGCCACCGTGGACAATTTTTAGCTTAAACATGCTAACAAATGGTGTTGTCCATGAATGGAATAAGGAGTCTCAAGAGAAAGTACATTCCCCATTAGAAGGTGTTCAAACAGAGGATGAAAACTTGTTGGAGTTGTTATAGAGACGTTTTATATTTCAGGTAGGAGTTGAACTAAGTGACCTTTGAGGTCTCTTCCAATTCTATGATTCTTGGGTTTATGTGGCCATTTTGATAGCCCGGTGTCTTAGCAAAATCCACTACTTGTGTACTTGAAAAATTATTTATTATGTGTTAAGATGCAATTATACTTTCTTGTCTTATCACACTTATTAATATGCACGTAAGAGTATGCCTAATTATAACTACTGAGTGATTTCACTTGGACCTATTAAAAGGTATTTCTTCCAAGAGTTGAAAAAGATAATTATATTGGGAGTATAGAAATGGTTAACTTAATTTTTGTTCCAAAGTTAACAGGTAAACACAATTGTAAACCTTTAATCTTACTATCTATTTTTAAATAGCTTGTTTTTGTTAATAATTTCAATGTTTATGAATACCAGAAAAAGTGAAAATTTTTTGTAATTTTTTTTTTTTTTGCTCTTTTAGGGTGAGTTTGTAGATGATGGAACTGAAACTCACTTCAGTATTGATAATCATGAATGTTATATAAAGGCTGTCAGTAGTGGAAAGCGAAAAGAAGGGATTATTCATACTCTAATAGTGGATGATAAAGAAATTGCAGAGACTTTGGAGTGACTGCTTGTTTATGAATTTGATACTTGTAAAGTAAAAAAAAAAATCAGGGATTTAAAATTACTGTGGTAATTTAATGTGTATTTCCCCATACATTTAGTCTGTGCTATTCTTATTTTCTAGTTATGTGGAATTAATATTCTGTTTGAGGCACAGAGGAAAAATTGATTATGTAAGCCTTAGATAATGCAAATTATTTTGTGAATAATGTAAAATGTTATATAACACTGAGTAAAAGAAAAGATGTAGACTAAAATAGAAATGTTTTAAAGAGGGAAACTTTTGATATAATAAACTGTAATAAAATTGGTGCTGATTATTTTTTTTTTTAAAGAAACTGATAAATTTGTCTTTTTCAGCTCTTGAAGATAGGTTCCATTTATTTGGGTTTAAAACAGTTGGAACATACTGGAATTCTTTTCTCATTTTTAACCAATTAAATCAATTTTTTTAAAGATTTCTCATAGTAGGAAATATCTAATGTTATCAGTATCTGATTTTAATAAAAAAAGTTGAAATTCAGTTGTAGTTTATCCATTTTATGAATTATGCGTGACGTGTGATGAAAACAGATGACACAATCAGGACAAAACCTATTGCCTTAGATGAAGTTCCAGAATGTTAGAAGTAGGTTCCAAAACTGCTTATTTGGGACTATGCTCATAAAGTTACTAAACTGTGCACATCCTTTGATCCAGTGATACCACTATTAGTTCTGCATCCCAGGAATATCAAAGAAAGAGAAAAAAGACCTACATGTGAAAAAAATATATATAGATATAGTAGTTCTTTTTGAGGTGGCAAAGAATTGGAAACTAAGGCAATACCTATCAATTGGGGACTAGCTGAACAAATTATGGTATATGAATATGAACATTATGAATATTCACGTAATGGAATACTATTGTGTTCTAAGAAATAATTAAAGGGAGAGTTTCAGAGAAACTTGGGAAGACTGGTGAACTGATATAAATGAATAAATGAATTGATGAGTGAGCACAACCAGGAGAACACATACAATAACAACACTGTAAAGACAAGACTTAAGAACTCTAATCAATGCAATTATCAACTGATTCTAGAGAATGATAAAGAATGCTACTCTCCTCCTCATGGGTAGGTCATGGCCTAATATGCATATGGGAATTTTTTTTTTTTTTTTTGCCTAACTATACTTATCTGTTACTACTGTTTCTGTTTTTTGTTTTTTTTCCTGAGGGGAGGGGAAAAATGCTTGACAGTTGTGACAAAAAAGGAGTATTAGTCCCTTGAGGGCAGGGTTTGCTTTTACCTGTCTTTATATCCCTAGGGCTTAGCACAGTGCCCAGAACCAAAGAGGCACTTAATAAATGTAGATTGACAAACATTCTCATTTAATCCTAAAACCCTGTGAGCAAGGCAAGGCAGGCTTTAGTCTTATTCCACAAATGAGAAAACTGAAGCTTAGAGAAAGAAGTCAAATGGCTTGTCTAAGACCCTCAAGCTTAATAAGTGGAGCTAGGTCAGGGTTCTTAACACAGTAACACTAGTCCTTAGCATGTGTTAAAAGTTAGGTTTGGTATAAACTGTTTGGGAAAATGGGCAAAGAAGCAGTCCTAGCAGATTCCTTTTATGACACAAATATGGTGCTGATACCTAAACCAGGAAGAGCAAAAAACAACAAAAACTATAGACCAATTTCCCTAGTGAATACTGATGTAAAAATTTTAAATGAAATACTAGCAAGGAAAATACGACAATATATCACAAAGACTCAGCACGCATCTTTCCATTGCAGCTTTAAGTCATTCACAATTTTGATCCTTTGGAGATCTTAGTATTCCATGATTATGAGATGTAGAAACCTTCAACACCAATGTTGTGATGTAAAAATTGAGAATTGATGATGTGAGTGGCCTGGGTCTCCCTTGAATTGAAGGGCCTAATCAGTATCCCTTGAAAACTAATGATTTCCAAAAGAAAAGTAGCTAGATCAAAGAAGTTTACTGGTGACCTCACTTGAGTGGGAGTATTTATTTTGTTAACCAAATCTAGAGGGAAGATAGATAAAATGAGCCATCTATTCCATTGCATTCTGCCTAATATACATTTTTCACTTATTTTTTTTTCCTCTGTGGAGCATTGGTCCTATTTCTTTTGAATGACTATAGATCTTATTGTGGCAAGTCCTTGTAGTATTCTGCAGCTTGAACAATCAGTGTTTTGCAGTTTGCAAACAGAAAAATATAGAGAGCCTTGCTATGGAAACCCATCTTCCCTTTGGACTCTGTGGAACATCCATTATTACTGGCATATACCTTTAGTGAACATTGTTTCATGCCTCCTTTGATATTGATAATCCAAGGCTCATTGAACAAAACTGCCTCTGGGATTGCGTTTATTGAGGCACCTTGTACAATGGAGTTACATTATATATGATATTTAACTTAGACTTAATTATACTTGACAGATGAATTTGCTCATGCATACACACACAAAGAGAAAAATAATTTAAATGGTGTGGATGATTTTGTCCACCATTCCATTCAATGAGAATATGCCCAGAGCAAGCTTAAATGGGAGATGTGAATCTGCTGTTTCCTCAGTTAGTCTGAACTCTGACATGTATCTGGTTGTGCTTAGGCTATTGCCATGAGTGTCTCTCCCCCCTCCAGACCATCACTCAACTATCAAAATGACCTTCCTAAAGTGCAGGTCTGATCATGTCTCCCTACTCAATAAACTTCAGTGATTACCTGTTACTTCCAGGATCAAATATAAAATCCTCTGACATTCAAAGCCCTTTTAATCTCTTGACCTTTCTAGTCTTATACCCAACAACTCCCCAAGTACCTTGTGATCCAGTGACACACACCCTCACATAAGAAACTCCATCTCTTGACCAGGCATTTTCACCGGCCATCCATGCCTGGAACACTCTCCTTCATTTCTACCTCCTGTAAAATCTCAGCTAAAATCCCATCTTCTACAGGAAACTTTTCCTGATGCCCTTTAATTCTAGAGCCTTCTTTCTGTTGCGTATCTCCAATTTGTCCTGTATATATCGTTTGTATAAAGTCATTTGCATGTTGTCTCCTGCATTTGACCGTACCTTGAGAGCAGGGACTGTCTTGTCTTTCTTTGTATCCCCAGTGCTTAGCATAGTGCCTGGCATATGATAGGTGCTTAATAAATGCTTGTTGGCTGACTGACCAATGATCACGTAGCTAGTAAGACTAGACTGATACAGAAGCATTGGCAGACATGTTCCATTTTGTATATTTGTTGTCCTTCCCAGTTTCATCTGTTCTCAGGTTGGTATTGTTTTGTTGGGACTCAAGCTAAGCTTTCTACTGGCTTAATACTGTTTTGTCAGGGAATATTGTTCAGAATCTTCCATCCTTTTGCAGTATTTTATAAAATATTTTTGTATGATTATTTAAATGCAAGTACACTTAGTTTTGGTTTTTTGGTTTTTTATATATATGAGGCAATTGGGGTTAAGTGACTTGCCCAGAGTCATACAGCTAGTGAGTGTTATGTGTCTGAGGTCAAATTTGAACTCAGGTCCTCCTGACTCCAGGTCTAGTTGCTCTATCCACTGCTCCACCTAGCTGCCCCTAGTACTTAGTTTTTGCTAAGTATTGTACTTCAGTTTTTGGATACTGTTAATGAGGTTTGGAGGCTTCTTGGGTGTTCAGCCTCTCCCCTGGCCCTCACTCTTAGAATGTGGCCTTCAATTCTTCATTAAGCTAGGACCATATACTTCCTTATTCTTCCCACCAGGCATGACCTATGACCTATTCTCTAGTTACCACCCTCGATTCTGCAAATAAGAAGAGATTTCTTAGTGAATGTTTGGGGATAGAGTGGAAGTAATGAAGAAGTTAGTTACTCTAGATAGCAATAGCAATTAAGTTGTTTGCTTTACCTAAGAGCAGGTTCAATAGAGGAAGAGAGACATCTTCTGAGGATGGGGTCACTATTTTTAAGTTCTATTGAGTGAACAGATTTTCTTGGTACCAGTTACCAGTCCTCTTTGATTTTGACTTCTGGGTCATGTGAGCAATAAGATGGAAGACTAGACATTTTCTTTGATCCCTACAACCCCTCAGACCTCTCCAAAACAGAAATTTTGCACCATGGTCTGGGATGCCTAGAATCCAAAAGGTTTAAAAGAAAAAAAAAACTAAACTCATGAACTGACACTTACTGACCTTGAGCTGACTAAGTGACCCTCCTTTCCCATGCTAGACCCCAAGGACACAAAGGCTTTCAACAAAACACAACCCTACACCATGTTCTTCCCACCTCTTTCCAGTGCCCTAGAGAACATGATTCCAGGCTTTGGAAATTTCCCCTGGCTGCAATAGATAGTACAGCCAAAGCCTTCAGGAGCAAAAGCCTGTATTACTGGCACTGAAATCTCTGAACTGTCAGTGCTACAGCAGACAACCCTATAACACCAGCAGGACAGTGCCAGGACAGTGTCTGTCCTGCTGTAATACCAGCAGAACTAGTGTCAGGACAGACAATCCCGTAACACCAGTACTGCAAAGCTACAAACTAATATAGGGTCATAAAACTAAGGAATAGGGAGCAAGACAGGACACCATGAGTATGTGGGGAAAAGAGGTAAAAAGGAAGCTGTGCAGCACTCCATTAAGCATGAAGCATCCAACTGGGGCTAGTTCTGACCACTCAAAAGTTACTTGGGGCAAAGACCTAGGCTGGTGAACTAGCATGGAAGGTGGCTAAGATGATTTTGTATCTAGCCCCGAAGGAAACCACAATCAGGAGAGGGAGTCAGAAAGTGAGTGGTAGGGAAAAATAAGGCAGAAAAAAAAAACTCGAAATTACTAAAGATTTCAGGAAGAAGAAAACTCAAAAATTTTGAACATAAGCAGATAAATCAATGGGGAAAACAGTAACAGCAGAAGAAAATATATCCTCCAGATCTAGTAAACAAGTTCAGGTATCTATGAATAAATACAGCAAAACAAAGAAAAATAATCCAATACCTGATGAGACAGAGTACCTTGTGGAATTTGAGGAGAACATGGCACCACACAGCACACTGTTCTCCAGTGATTCAAATGAGAATTAATGAGAGCAGAATTTATGGCCTGCACAGCAAAAATAATGGGCAGAGTAGAAACACTAGCGTTTGTAATGACAAGTCTCTTTGATTCATCCCCTTCTCCCTGCTGTCATCAGTTAGGCCAAGACATTAGTATATAATCCCTAAGTACCAAGTCTTTTAGCACCAAGGCAGCATAGGTGATCTACTGGGAAAAAGCCAAGTTCCTACAATTGGGGGAGGGGATCATATGTTTGCTCCCATTACAAGGGGAAAGGCTTGTTTCACAAAGTTATTAAACCTATTTTAATCCCCAACAATCTGAATTCATTTTTGACCCATT